GTCAACAGTGGGAGGGCTTCTAATGTCCTGGCCCCACTGGTGGACCTCCTGATGGCACTGGTATTTCTGGCCACTGTGTGCCACAGAGTGTTGGACTGGATGGGCCATTGGCCTGATCCAACATTGGCTTCTCTTATGTTCTTATGTCTGGGGCAAGTGATGGTCTGTCTTCTTGGTGCTTGGGGGGGGGGGTCAACAGTGGGAGGGCTTCTAATGTCCTGGCCCCACTGGTGGACCTCCTGATAGCACTGGTATTTCTGGCAACTGTGTGCCACAGAATGTTGGGCTGGATGGGCCTTTGGCCTGATCCAACATTGGCGTCTCTTATGTTCTTATGTTATGTTAAGTTGTAATTTTTTACAAAGACACCTGTGAGTGAAGGGCGTAGCCAGTGTCTCTGAGATCTTGCTGACACCGTAGTGGCTGTCTCTGAGATCAGGTCTCTGAGATCTTGCTGACACCGTACTGGCTGTCGGGAAATATAATTTTAGCGTGACTTCCGAGTGTTCACAGAATGCATACTAACCATTTACCTTACAAAGTTGTACTTTTTCACAAAGACACCTGTGAGCGAAGGGCGTAGCCAGTGTCGTGTAGTGTTTAGAGTAAGATAGCCCCAGCTAGCCTGATCTTGTCAGATCTCGGAAGCTAAGCAAGGTCAGCCCTGGCTAGTATTTTGATGGGAGACCTACAAGAAAGAACCCTACAATAAAACAAGAAGATCCAGTAGAATAAAGCAGAATAAGCAGCCAGTCTCTCAAAGACCTGCTGCTTCTTTTGCTTTATTTTACTGGATCTTAATGTACAATGTGGCATAACCAATCAGTTTAGCAATTTCATTAGCAGCAGGAGCCCGTCGAACATTTCCCCCAGATCACAGCGGTCCCCCACTTACATCGATCAGCAGATCACAGTATGCCACCTTAATCCCCAGCAGCTTTTCATCAACAGCAATTTTATCAAATTTCATCACCGCCGGAGAGCTCGGCCTCAAAGGAGCAGTGCCCCAAACAAAAGCCAACAAAACATAAAAAGGCAGCAATAGCTTTGCTGTGATAAGCATGGTTAAAAGGAAAAGGTATCGTGTGGTATTTTTCCAACAAGCACTGTATTTCCCTTTCTTTCTTAAGGTACCTTCACACCGAAAATCATGACACGGCACGCTTGGAAACCTCCTCCGCGAAAACTTTAATGGACATTGGAACTCGGAGGATCTTCTCTTCAGACCATGACATCTTCCGACAAAGCGTCAGAAAATTCTTCCAGGAGGCCGTGGTTCCGTATCATGCAGAGTAAGTGAACTTGTGGTGTATTGTTATATCGAAACACTGCTTCACTTTAAAAAATGTTTTGAAATGGGCGAGACGATCTTCTGAGTAGCTCTCGTTGCTGCTACAGCTCCAGAGTGTAAACACAGCATCCACACAGCAGTTTCCACCCACATTTTCCTGGCCTCTGCCCCTTCTGGCCACTATTTCCTCCTCCTCCTCCCTCTCCGGGGGGGCTTTATAGCACAATCTAGGGCAACAATCTACTAGTTCCACCAGTTTTCATTTTTTAAAAGAATCTGTAGCCTATTCCAGAGGATAGGATACAGAATGCCAACAGTCGAGCATAGCTCTTGCAGTGATGTGGCCACTAGGAGGAGCTCTTTAGCCGACAGCATATATCACATCTTCTACCCATTGGGCTAGAATTGCCAGCTTCCAGGAGTTGCCTGGAGATCTCCCAGAATTATAACTGAACACCAAACTACAAAGATCAGTTTCCCTAGAGAATAATAATTATTGTAATCATATGGCATTGTGTGTCATATAGCCAGGAGAGCGAAAGATTGTCTGGCAGCCTAAAGTTCTAGCTCCCTTGTGGCGAGCTAAACTTATTTTGTGGGCTGACAGGAGCTCTGAAAAAGCTGTGACTGACCCAAGGTCACCCAGATGGCTCCATGTGGAAGAGTGGGGAATCGAGCCCGGTTCTCCAGATTAGAGTCCACTGCTCTTAACCACCACACCAAACTGGCTCTAATTATTGTATGACAGTGTGTGTAGTGTAGCCAGGAGATCCTAAGATTATCTGGCAGCCAGAAGTTCTAGCTTTTTAGCGTTATGCGCCACAAAGTAATGTGCTAGACTTGTTTCTTTTTAAGACAAGAGACGTTTCAGAGGTGGTTTCCCGTTGCCTGCCTCTGTGTCATGGCCCTGGTATTCCTTGGAGGTCGCCCTTCCAAATACTAGCCAAGGCTGACCTTGCTTAGCTTCCGAGAACTGATGAGATGAGGCTAGCCTGGGCTATCCAGGTCAGGGCTTCCCTGGAGAAGATAGCTGCTTTGGACGGTGAACTCTATGGCATTATATCCTGGCGAGGTTCTTCCCCTCTCTAGTTTCCACCTCCAAACCTTTAGGAATATTTTAATCCGGAGTTAACGACCTTGGGCTGTGTCGTCTGTTATTTCAACCCATTAAGCTTGTGTTCTTCTTACTGAGTAAGTGATCAAAACGGAGCTACGCAGACTGTAAAAAGATGGCATTGCCTTTTCACGATTTTGTTTTTATCTGCAGATGGGAGAAGGCGGGGCAGGTCAGCAGAGAACTCTGGGAAAAAGCTGGCCAGCAGGGGCTGCTGGGAGTCAACATAGCGGAAGAACGTGGCGGCATAGGAGGAGATCTCTTCTCCGCAGCGGTCGTCTGGGAAGAACAGTAAGTAGCTATTGCAGCTCCGAAGAACTCTCCTTGTGTCCTGTATTCTCATTCCTGATTTCCCCACTTCTAAGCGATGAGGATGATCGGGGGCCTGGAGACCGAGCCCTCTGAGGAAAAGCTGAGGGACTTGGGGATGTTCAGTCTGGAGAAGAGGAGGCTGAGGGGGGAGAGGATGGCTCTCTTGAAGTATTTGAAGGGCTGTCACTCAGAGGAGGAGGGCAGGGAGCTGTTCTTGTGGGCAGCAGAGAGGAGAGGACTCGCAAGAATGGGTTGAAATTAAGGGTGGGAAGGTACCAACTGGATCTCGGGGAAAACGTTTTGACAGTCAGCGATGTGCCACAGTGGAATCGGCTGCCTAGGGGGGTGGTGAGCTCCCCCTCACTGGCAGCCTTCAAGCAGCGGGTGGACAAAGAGTTCTCAGGGATGCTCTAGGCTGACCCTGCGTTGAGCAGGGGGTCGGGCTGGATGGCCTGCGTGGCCGATCCCCAACAGTTTTGAGTTTGCAGGCACCTTTGGGAAATCTGACACAGGGTGGAGGTCGCAGCCACAAAACGGCTGCCACCGAAGGCTGAGCCAACAGCAAGATGTCAGCGACGGACGTTATTCTAAACTCCTAACAGTAACTCTTCAATATTTCTGGTATAAACCCTGTTTAAAAAGGTCAAAGGTAAAGGTTTCCCTTGCTCGAAAGCCAGTCGAGTCCGACTCTAGAGTTGCGGTGCTCATCTCCGTTTCCAAGCCGAAGAGCCAGCGCTGTCCGAAGACATTTCCGTGGTCATGTGGCCAGCATGACTAAACACCGAGGCACACAGAACGCTGGAACTAGAGACGGGAGCTCACTCCGTCATGCGGCACACTCGGGTCTCGAACTGCTGAACTACCGACCTCCCACAGCCTGCAGTTCAGCGTCTTCACCACTTGAGCCACCACAGCTCCTCTGTTTAACTGGATATAAATCCTGTTGAACTGGATGCCTTTTAATCGGCACAGCCAATCAGAAGGCCCGCTGGGCAAAAGCCCCCTCTGGCTCCACCCACTTTCTAAAAACACCTGTCGGGCGCCAGGAAAGGTGTCGGTGGGCAGCATGTTGACGCGTGGCGGGGGGGGGGGGGGGGGGCTCGGAGCCTAGCAAAGAGTCAAGTGTCCCCTGTGGAGCTGGCCCATCTAAATCCTGTGTCTTCATTGCCACCTCCCAAGTCTCTGCAGCGCTGCCAGCATCACACTGGGGCTCTTGACCAGTGTTCCCTCTAAGCTAAGTTAGTGTGAGCTAGCTCACAGTTTCTTAGCCTCCGGCTCACACATTTTTGTCTCAGCTCAGGAAGGAGGGCTCCAGATGTATGCAGTAGCCAAATTGCTTGCTCACAGCTTTAATGCCAGTAGCTCAGAAAGTGGAATTTTTGCTCACAAGACTCCACAGCTTAGAGGGAACATGGCTCTTGACCCCTCTTGTTTCAGGGCTGTATGGATCTCCAGTCTACACCCATCTCAAAAGCAAGGACCGGAAGCAGAGAGGTTGTTCCCTCTCCCCGCCCTCCTGCCGCTCAAAGTTTTCTTGACACAGCATTTTCCTCTGAGCTCATCCAGTGACTCGGGCCTCTGTATGGAACTGCCCCTGCCGGGCTTGGCCCGTACGGGGAAAAGTGGGTTGCCGGATGGCGTCTCTGGCATGTCTCCCTGCAGGTTTTTTTATCCCAGACGCAAACCGATGTAATACCAAATCAGCCACTAGAGGGAGCAAAATGTGTGCAGAACGGGGAGTGGGGGATCCCAAAGGAACAGGAACACCCAAGCGAGGAAAATGAGAATGTGGGAAAGGCCAGTGAGTCAAGCAAGGTGTGATTTGGTGGAGTGGTCAGGAGACCTCCCAAGTCTCTGCAGCGCTGCCAGCATCACACTGGGGCTCTTGACCCCTCTTGTTTCAGGGCTGTATGGATCTCCAGTCTACACCCATCTCAAAAGCAAGGACCGGAAGCAGAGAGGTTGTTCCCTCTCCCCGCCCTCCTGCCGCTCAAAGTTTTCTTGACACAGCATTTTCCTCTGAGCTCACCCAGTGACTCGAGCCTCTGTATGGAACTGCCCCTGCCGAGCTTGGCCCACACGGGGAAGAGTGGGTTGCCGGATGGCGTACCTGGCATGTCTCCCTGCAGGTTTTTATGCCAGACGCAAACCGATGTAATACCAAATCAGCCACTAGAGGGAGCATAATGTGTGCAGAACGGGGAGGGGGGAATCCCAAAGGAGCAGGAACACCCAAGCGAGGAAAATGAGAATGTGGGAAAGGCCAGTGAGTCAAGCAAGGTGTGATTTGGTGGAGTGGTCAGGAGACAGTTTGGTGGAGTGGTTAGGAGCGCGGACTCTAATCTTGGAGAACTGGGGTTGATTCCCCACTCCTCCACATGCAGCTGCTGGTGTGACTTTGGGTTAGTCACAACTTCTTTCAGAGCTGTTCTCTCAAGGGCAGTTCTCGAAAGAGCTCCCTCAGCCCCACCTGCCTCCCAGGGTGTCTGTTGCAGGGCGGGGAAGGAAAAGGCAGTTATACGCTGCTCTGAGACTCCTTAGGGTAGTTAAGAGCGGGGTATAAATCCAACCTCCTCCTCCTTTTCTTCTTCTTCCCCCCTGTGTGTTTCTTTCTGAAGCCGCTCCAGAGTCTCCTTCTGAATGGTCCCCC